TATAAGTTCTAAGGTCTCAGTATAGTTACAACGGCTGCCCCACCCTTCAAACCGAAACGCATTACTGCTTCAACGCAGATTTTTTTTTATTGCTTAGATGAGTGGACGAGCTCACAGTCCACCTGGTGTTAAGTGGTTACTGGAGCCCATTGACATCTACAACGTAAATGCGCCACCCACCTTGAGATATAAGTTCTAAGGTCTCAGTATAGTTACAACGGCTGCCCCACCCTTCAAACCGAAACGCATTACTGCTACACAGCAGAAATAGGCAGGGCGGTGGTACTAACCCTGGCGGACTCACAAGTGGTCCTACCACCAGTAATTATATATGTAAATCTTATATGTATATATTTAAAAATATTTATAACACATAAAACAACTAAACAAACTTGGGATATTTAAGAAAGTTATTTATGTTACCTTTGGATTTTCGATAAACATTAAGTGTCCCCCAGTGGTGTTTCTTAGAGACCTCATTGCTGCAAATGTTCAATTCACTAGTAAAAATCTTATGTTGAAGTAAACTCTTCGTATTCTTTGAGTCCGAGTGAAAAAACGATACGAATTTATGAAGCGGACTCATGACTGTTGATATACTAAATACTAAATCATTAAATATAAAAAAAAAATAACGTTATATGTCTCTCAAATTATATAAAAGCATGTCAATGTAGAGCTAGTGTCCGCACACGACTATCTTTTGTTAGTGCACTACACAAACTAAGTTTTTTCTAAGTGTTTAACTTAATCTTTTTTCGTTTGTAATTTCACTAATTGCACTTGAGCACGTCACGGAAGTCTGGCCGCGAGTGCAGCAGGTTTTTGTCTCAGGCTGTGTCGGGTTGTTGGGACCGGAGTGCGACACGAACGCGTTGCCCCTGGTTGCTCTTTTACCGATAATCGCGTCACCAGCGCACTTTCATCCAACACGGCAATCAAGCAACGGCTTTTTTTTACGTTCGCTGTTAAATGCTGGCGATTCATACGTGGTATTTAGATGTTCAATACTATTTTCTATAAAAACGAGTCATTTTAGGGAGGTTATCTATACTAATATTATCAAGAGGAAAGATTTGTTTGTTTGTTTGTATTGAATAGGCTCCGAAACTACTCAAACGATTTGAAAAATTATTTCACTGTTTGGAAGCTACACTATTCCCGAGTGACATAGGCTATAATATTTTTTGTAAAAAAATAGGGATCCTTACTAAAACTCAAATAATGTAAACCAAGGTGTAAAAAATTACTTAAAATATTCTTTACATCGCGTGCCCCGCGAAAACTATTGATGATAGAATAAAATAATGTGCTGCGACTTTATAGAACACATTATTATTTACAAAAAGTGTCGCGAAGCATATGTCTAACTATTATAGTTATGCCGCAATAAGTGCTATTTTATTTAACAAAATAAAACAACGTCAAATATCGTTGAAAATTTTGTTAAAGATCCGAGCGGAGCCGGAGCGGGCCGCTTGTGTTTTATAAAAGTGATGATTATGTTATATTAGAAGAATTGGAAGTTAAGTGACAGGTGATGGCAAACGCTATTTTGTTGTAAGTAAATATTTTTCAAGCCTCATAGATCAACTGTATCATCAGGGGCTCACATACGAGAAATCGCAAGTACGACAATGGACCCGTCTAGACTATGTACCTATTCCGATTTTCTAATTTTGTATTTAAAGTATAGTGTGACGTGTATCCGAAATTACTCAATAGACCGTTTTGTGTGAAAATATACACTTGCATAATTAACAACGTTTGTTACACAATTGAAACGGTTATAAATCATATGATGCATATATTTTTAATTGTAATACCTTGTGGGTGTCAAAGATTGGCAACATCATGTGAATCCCATTCAATTTCAAATTACAAAACAAGAACTTATGTAAGGTAACAAATACGGCGGCGGGGCGCGTGAGAGACGCACAATCCCGCCGCCGTCGAGCGGGGGCCAGGGAGGCGGATCTCGCCCAAGCCCTGGCCCTCTAAGTGTTTCGGGTCCCCCTCACATGTCGGTCTGGGGACCTTCGAGGGGGGCCTAAGAAGACGACGTGCAAGCTGCTCTGCACGCGTTTTACGCAAGAGAAAAAGTGTCTCTTGCCCAAACAAGTTTGGAAATCTGTTTTCTGTTGGAAATCTGTATTTATAATATAATTACTTAAAACGAAAAAAATAATTATTATTTTTGTCATTGTTAGAGATCGATAGAATTTTCAGGCAACTTGTTTCTTAAAGTATTTTTTGAAAGTTTTGTTTTACCCACTTAAAATTATAGTGAGCATCTATTTAGTTGTATATATGTGTGCATGTGTTGTATTGTTATAAATGTATGTACTTAATTATTATATTATTTTATTTTCTCGTCCAAATTTCAATTCTATTTGAATACTCGCTATGCGGCTATTCGATCTTCGATCCAGACCGCCCGATTACTTCGCGGTAGAAATAATCAGGACGACAGTACCAAACAGTACGTCGTAGTCCTGCATATTGGTGGTAGGACGTCCTGTAAGTCCGCATGGCTAGGCACCACCACCCTGCCTATTTCTGTCGGGCTCCGGTAGCCACTTAACACCAGGGCCGTGAGCTCGTCCACCCATATAAGCCATGAAAAAAAAACCTTACTATAAGTGATACCGCGAGCGAAAATATCCTTCATTGTGTAAGTTGTTCGCGAACCCGTGGACCAAGAGTAGTATTCCATAACTACGAAAACATCGGACGTTTACCTACAAGGCCACACACTAAATTAATAATTCAAATAAAGATTTTCTGTTTGGTTCAATATATTTATTCTGGATGTTAATTTTTATTTTATTTCTTTTCGCTATTATTATTTAAAAATAAGCTCTATTGAGTTGACCGTTTTAAAAAAAAATTACGTAAAAAATTTTAATGAAATTATGTTTGATAAGGATACATTATTTTTGATGGGTAAGGTTTTGCAGTTCAGAGGAGAGTAGTGATATGATTTGTTTTAACTGAAGCTTTTTAGGAAGGTGAAGGTTTCGTACTAATTACAAACCAAATCGACTGCTCATCATTCGATACGCAGTAAGCTCGATACATAGTCTTGACAAAAACTGACAGATGAGTTAAATTTCATAATGCAATGTCAATAACTTTCACAAGGAGAACTCAGAAAGGCATTTCTTAAAATTATACAAACGTACAAAAGGAACAGTTTTGCAAAACGCCGTATAATAAACCTTAAATTCATTATGAATTGTAATTGTCATTTAAATGATGACGTTTCTATATTATTCTAGTTAGGGTTGTGTAAAAGCATTATTTGTAATACGATAAAACGTACTACTAATTATGAATTTCATCACTAACAAAATGAAATTATGAAACTTATTACACATTTTGTTACTGTAAACTAAAACTGAAATCCAATTAGGTAGGCACTATACGTTAAGATCGTTGTGTTTGCCTTAAATCTATTTGTAAGAATAAAAGACACCATTTTTTACTAATTTTACTGTGAATTTCTTTCTAGGTGTTTTTTTGAGTATATCAACTAGATTTTTGCAATGCCTTTGTTGCCAGTGTTGATTTTATAAAAAAACTAAAATTATTAAATACATTCTTGTTGAAGTTGCTTAGTTTGTGACTTTAATCAATTGGGATAAATTAAATAAAACAAGGTGAGATAGAATGACAATATAACGTCTCAGTAAATTGGCGGTTATTTACTGAGATTGTTTCGTTTGACTTTTTGGAGAAGATACATCCGAGCGACTGTTTCATGTCCCTACATTTGTGCATTTTCACACATATTAGGCAGTTATAAACCACTGTTATAATACATTTAAAACTGGAGATACACTAACTTAACAAAACAATTAAGACAACTTTGCTTCTCGCGTTCCCGCCAAAAAGTCCCGTGTGATTTGTTGTGAAACTCTGAATCGTTAAACTTGGAGCATCGCAATTACCCTGATGCAAAATAAAAAGAACGTCATCCTAATACTTACTTATAAAAAATAAAAATAAAATATAAGTCTTATTTTTAGGGCTATTCGCCTAGAATAGCCCCAGCCAAACTCTTCCTGTGGGGGTCGTATAAGGCGACTAAAGAATTCACCGTATACTGCGATCGCTAACCGACATTAAAATTTGTAATCGTAATATTGTGGGTTTAGGTGGAACAGCTTCACCTATTTCTGCCGCAAAGCAGTCATGCGTTCTGGTTTGTAGAGTGGAACAACAATACAATTGAACCTACTACTTTATTTGTTAAGGCGGGTTCGGGTTCTGTTGTCTCTAGGATCCAGCTAACACATAACACCAAGTGAGTCATGAGCTCGCTTATCTAACTAAGCAATAAAAAGTAATTAATAAAAAAATGTAATGCAAAATTAACTTTTTTGGTAATATTTATTTTACGTCACATTTTATCTATGTTCTTGTACATTTTTACAAAAATGAATTGTAAGTAATACATTTTCTCTTCTGTTCTGTTAATAACACTGAGAACAAAACTGATCTTTTGAGTTTTAGTCAGTTGGCAAACCGAGTCGAAAATTGTACTTACGTGTCTTTGCCTGTTTATTTAATAAAAGTTATCCCTAATCAAAACAAACTTTTTATAAACAAATAAAAAAGCTTTACATAATAATTAGGTTTATTTAACATAATTTGTCATTAGATATCGGGCCCCATGATGGCGACATTCTTTGATTTAAATTGCATTGCATGCATGCATTACATACAGAGAACTCCATTTGAAATTGTGAAGTAGCGCCATCTATCTAGTACAACATGAATGAAATGCCAATCAACACCTTGGAAATTATTTTAGTCCGTAACTAGATGGCAGCACCCACTAAATTAAACAATTCATGTTGATATTTTTGCTAGTTAATTATATTAATACAAAAATTGCTCAGCAAGTATGAAAACTAATTTGTATTACTCTCACGAAAGTACGTATTGCTTGCATAGACGTATCACTCAAGTAAGTAATTTCTTTATAAACTTACCTTTGCTAGTAGCGAGGGTTGTCGGTCTCTGCGCCGGTACGCGGTGTGGGGTTGATTTTCTCGGCACAGCTGGAGCAGGTAATAATACTCTAGGACGCACTGCCACCGGAGACGAAGATAGTTTCTGCACAACACCATTCTTCTTGGCTGCAGTTAAAAGTAAAGTATTAGTATTTTAAAATTAATACTTAAAGTAACTGAACTAGAAATAAATCTTAATTATTCGTTGGTATCTCAGAAATGTGGACATCAATAATTTTTTTGCAATGTAATATAACACAAATAATAATAAAAAAGCAAATTAGATTTCAGAAATAAATAATCATTGATTTTTGTTGTGCGCTGAGCTGCAGATTTTTACGAATACCTTATGTTCTTTAATTCTGTAGTAAACTTTAATACAATGATTTAAAAAGAAACCAGATGGCGCTAGTAGTTGTTATTTTCTTTGATACAGAAAAATCCGGTAACGGAGTAAACGCATTTGAGACTTATGCTACCAAATTTCGCAATATTTTTCTGTTATCCTAATAATAGACACCTGGACGCTAAGTCTATTTGTTAAATGGAAGTCGCACAAATCAGTTTCGATCTGACACACTTTTTTAAAGGACAACCTTACAGCCATTGTCTCAGCCCACCTTACTAAGAGAAAGGTTACGCTATGTGTTACGAAACGACTTGCTGTGAGCTCGTTTAATTCTCACTTCGCCGATAAATCGATCATTCGATCGTTTTATGGTACTTTTCAAACTGGTTTGGTTCACTAAAGCACTGTTTTTATATCTTTTTCCCATACATATATAAGCCTAAGGGGCTTTTTCAGCTACGCTATGACGGATAGGCCTCGGCCCAACCTAAGGGAATTTCTAGCCTTAGGAAGAGCAGTGCTTCACTGAATCCACCACCGGATCGGAATCGTGACCCACTGAGAAGATCCGGCGAGAAACCCTATCCATTTGATTCCCTAGCCTTTCACACACAGCCACAGACACCCCAACGTGAATACCGCCATCAAAAACGAACGATCATAACGAAAACCGCACTAAGAGACACTAATCATGTAGCGTTGTCCATGGTACTCTGGTAATAAGGAATTCATCGCGATAGGCCTGTTACTTGGGCGGTTTGACCCTTCTAAGGTATTGAGTAGACATAAGAGGTTTCCATGAAAATGAACCCCGGTGGGTGCTGTATGAGAAATTATATAGGCGTGCTAATACGGTTGCCGATTCAGGGACAAGTGTCTTTAAGAGTAATTGCAAATTCAATCCGGTCCATTCGACTTGTGGTCGGAAGCTGTAATACAGATCGCAGACGGGGCTATCACATCAGCTGTCATATCAGGGCATGTCTGCACAGAATGAATTCGAAGAGAAGGTCAGCCTTCTTCTGCATACTATTGTCATGGTAATTGCGCAGTGGTGAGAGACCGACACAAGTTACTACCTACCGCTGTGGCGAGCAACAAAAAAATACGCCTCCCAGAGTGATGATAGCTCTGAAGAGGAAATAAGTGGGTGCTTGTCTGATTAAAAAACACAAACAGACAAGCACCCACCGTGTTTCATAGGCATTCCCGATTAAGAATAGCCATTCGACTAAAATTGGAACTTATAATTATGACGTTTTAAACGTCAGTGTCACGACACAAGTGTACTTACTGTACTTTATATTTTTCAAACGATAGGTATATTACGGACCGTCTTTTCTAGAAAATCAATCACTAATAACGTAGTCTTCATCTTATAGTCGGCAAAATAAAAGCTCTATAGCTAAATTAGTTAGATAGCTCAAGTTACGCGGTACTACTCTATAATGTTAGAGTATTTTACGCATATTGCGTAGGGTGACTCACTCTGTGCGGGTGATGGTTGCGGCGGGGTGGCTGGAGGGCGGGCCGGGGTCGTCGGCGTCGGGACGCTATCCCGCTTCTTACCGTTCCCTGGAATGAATGGAAAATCATTATACTTATGTACCTATAATATTACGTATAACCGACTTGTAGGTTGTAGGTGACTCACTCGTCCCTTTTCTCCGTTAGGAAAGATCGATCGGCATTATTAGAATGAAATAGCTGTAATTACAATTTTCTTAGACCGGTTGGGGTTTTTTTATTTTTTTATTGCCCTTGTATGTAGGCGAGCATACGGCCCACCTGATGGTAATTGGTTACCGTCACCCATGGACTTCAGTAATGCCAGGAGCAGAGCCAAGCCGCTGCCTACCGTAAACAAACAATGGTTATGTTGTATGAACAAATTGATCTACGTGTTTATTACTCCGGTCATGATCAAGATTATATCACAAGATTTAGAAACGAACATATCTAGAAGTGTTATCTCGAGACGATACGGCATGTTACTTTATTATGTACCTAAACTCGGCATTATTTGCACGAACATTTGTTACACAACACTCTATCTTGGCACCGATCTCAGGCGTAAAGAACATGACATCGTGAGAAGAATACAGGATAGCTCAATGAGGATACAAAAACTAGAAATTAATTAACATTATGTGATAATAACTGTCTTTATCAAAGATACTATAATCTATATCTAAGGTTGTTTTATTTAGTTTATGGTTTTTATTTGTTTTTCTTTATGATATTTAAATGGTTGGTAAATGGTAATTTTAATAATATTTCAATAATTCTATGTACACATCTGGACTGGTTACTGAAATAAATTAATTATAATTTCATTTTATAAGCGTATTGTTGTGTTCTCTGACCACAATACGATTTTATATCAGATATTTCTGGCTTCTGACATTTGTTCAACTAAATAGTTTAAAGTCAAGTGCCGGAATATAATGAGTATTTTTTTTAATTAAGAAAATAGTAATCTTTTAGTTTACTACATTCAACGATCAAAAATTAATTTGTTTGTTTGTAAGCTTCCTATTTTCTAAAACGACAATTAATGTTTAAAAAAAAAACAAATCAGTAAATATTAAACGGTCTTTTAGGTGGTAAGTATTTGAAGTGAATCCATAGGAGATATAAATTTTAGGCCCGGAAGCACCCAGCTTCCGTTGCCCACATTATAATTCTGCATTTTTCTATGTTTTTTGTATTACACTATAGAATGTCGGAAGCTCTATGTCATAATTTTCATTTGAATCAACCATAAAAACGGCTAACGAAGCAGTTTGGTAGTTCGTCAAAATCAAAAATAGCAAATGACATCAAGCTATTTTGGATCCCGACTATTTTTAACTAACCGAAATTCGTGGTCTATTTCGAAAAAAAAGTCAACACTTTGTAACACGGAAACAAGAATCGCGTCTTTACGACACATTAAGCTACTTACTTTCGACGTCAACAAAATATATAGTTATAATCTATATATTAACACGTGAAGCAAAAACTTTGTACTCCTTTTTACGAAAATTGCGCTGACGGAGGAGTATAAAAATTTCCACACTTATAGAGAATATAGAGAAGGAGTGCAGAATGCTAATATTTTTTGTAAATTTTGCATTAAAAATATATCAATAAAAAGGACATTACACACACATTTGACACACACACACATATACTCTTTGTTTATTGTCAAACTTTTGTTATTGCCTAAAGTCCATGGTCAAATTGAGAATATTATATTGAATATTGTTTGTCTTTATTAATATTTGTCTATAGTGTAGTCTTGGAGAAAGTTGTGATTATAGAAGTATAATACTCTTTAACAATAGAATCTTAATAGTGTACAAACTTATAATTTCAATTAATTATAGTCGAATTTCGACTACCAGGGGATCACTAGTAAGTATAATTATACGATCTTTTTAATAAACGATTTATATATTTAATTATACTAGGACCGTCATGTTTCACTAAAAACTTTAAAGAATATACTTCCAGCAAGTAATAACGAAGATGTATTAATGATTGTAAACCTGACTATAGTAAATGCTTTAATGAAGCCAATTTACGAGAGAGAAATTTAATCTATCTATATATATAAAAATGAATTGCTGTTCGTTAGTCTCGCTAAAACTCGAGAACGGCTGGACCGATTTGGCTAATTTTGGTCTAGAATTATTTGTGGAAGTCCAGAGAAGGTTTAAAAGGTAGATAAATATGAAAATGCTCGGAATTAAATAAAAATAACAATTTTGTTTTTCCTTTGATGTGTCCCCCGTCGGTCTTTTATTTATCGATTGAGGCACTACGAAGTCTACCGGGTCAGCTAGTTGTCTTGTAAATTAATTACATGACCTTTTCTAGAAGGATTTACAAATGAATAACTCTATGATGTACAATAGTTTCGGTCTAATGCAAGTTTATGCGTGCACAGGTGCATTATAACATACATGAGAAATAACCTATGAGAAATTTAATAAGGTTACGTCACATTGTTTGTAGATAATTAGTTGCGCCATTCGAAGCTGGCATCGTTAGGACAGTGTTTGACTTTTACATTCTTTGTATGTAAATCATTTCTAGTAGCAAATGAATTAAAAAAAATACATTATATCGAGGGATGAAAGGCTATTTGGTTTAAGTTAAACTTAATAGAAGTTTGAGTTAAACTTAAAAGAAGAATAGAAGATACTAATCTATATATAAAAAAATTAATTGCTGTTCGTTAGTCTCGCTAAAACTCGAGAACGGCTGGATCGATTTGGCTAATTTTGATCTTGAATTATTTGTAGGAGTCCAGGTTTAAAGGTTTAAAAGGTAGATAAATATGAAAATGCTCGGAATGAAATGAAAATAACAAATTTTTTTTCTTTTGATGTATCCCCCGTCGTACGGATTCCTTTTGTTTGTTTTAAGTTTATTTTATACAAAAGTTTAGGTCTTAGGTCTTTATTTATCGATTGAAGCACTACGAAGTCTGCCGGGTCAGCTAGTACGAAATAAAGCGCACCTTTAATTACAAAGATAAATGTCGCGTATTAACCGTAATGTCACATATGTATTGTATGTATTTAAACAATGAGGTACATCCTATAAAACTTATTTTAACAGCCATCCGATAGCAGGAGTTTTGAGGAATCAATCAATCAATTCATAAACATAAATTGTGTACAGTTTATTATTTATGTCAGTGTATAGCTGGGTAAAAATATATATAACTGTAGCATTGGTAAGAACGGAACATATGAAAAGAGTGTGGAATGGAGCGTTAAGATGTGAGTGGGAGAAAACGGAAAGAACGGGAGAAGAGAACGACAGAGAAAAGGAAGATGGCGAAAACGGTAAAAAATGAGCAAGGCGTACTAAAAGTGTTAATTAATTTTAAATTATTAGTATAACAGAAGATTTGGGAACAGTGGAAGTTTTATTTTATGCGCTGCGATCCCTATTCTACATAACATTTCACATAGTTTAAATTTCGAACATTTTGAACTACTCGTATACTCGTATGAGGCGTTCGGGTATGAAATAGGATGCAGGTCGGATAACACTAATAATCGAAATAGCTGCACGTGAAATTATTGTCATGGTTATTAGAGTGGTTGGTTTACTGGCGGTAGGAACTCTTGTGAGTCCGCGCGGGTAGGTACCACCACCCTGCCTATTTCTGCCGTGAAGCAGTAATGCGTTTCGGTTTGAAGGGTGGGGCAGCCGTTGTAACTATACTTGAGACCTTAGAACTTATATCTCAAGGTGGGTGGCGCATTTACGTCGTAGATGTCTATCGGCTCTAGTAACCACTTAACACCAGGTGAGATATGATCTCAACCACCCAGCTAAGCAATAAATAAAAAAAATAGAAGATTTAATTATGAATTGTTTCGATACTACGAGTATATAAAAATTTACATGTCTGTTTTGTATCGGTTGAAATTCATTAGCCGTTCGGTCGTCATTCAACCAGCAGTCCCCTTATGTCAACAGATCTGAAAACATCGCGCAGTGAGCCGGAACACATTTCCAGAATGAGACAAAGCTGACGTGTGTGTATTGTAGGGAATTTTAGAGTAACAATAAATCTTGTGTCGGGATAATATGCAATTCGTGTTTCCTATACTAAATTTAATAATATTACGACAAGCTAATCACAATACAATGTGTCGATTTTACTTGTATAAAGTTAAAATGGTATTCTTTTTTTAATAAATACGGGGATCACCATGTCGGGATAAAGCGGTTATTGGAATTGCTACCATAAAGTTTCCTTTCAAACCGGAACGCCAATTTGTTTCACAGTAGAACCGGGCCGGATAGTGATACCGACTCGTGAAGACTTGTTGACTATGCCACCACACTTACTTAGCGGCTCATAAAAATTGACAAAATGCCGATATATTTTTTCTCCTAGATAAGACGTCATTAAATTAATGTCTCTTATTAAAATTACAATCCAAACTTAATTAATCTTATAAGTAAATTTAAATTATGTGTCCACTGGTATTTTCGTTATTCATTCTTAAAGCCAAGATATTAACTTTTACACGAATGATTTTTATATTCTTAATGAATTTATGTTACAAAATTTAAAAATTTAAAGAGCTGAGTGTCAAAGTCAATAAATATCTGTGTAATAAATAGACTATTATTTGAAATTAAAGTTCCTAAGATGTTTTTCATTTCTATGTCGAATCAAATAAGCGGAGGCGACGATTGGTGGCAACAAGAAACCCAACAAACTAAAAATTCCGTCCATCAAAATCTAATTAGAATCTATTTTTAAAATTCCATCAGCAAGCAGATACTAGAAAACTAACTTTGTAATTGAACTGACTTGACCTAATAAAATGGTCAACAACTCAAGTAACGGCTTGTTGTAAACGATATAATCGTCTGTCTATGTAAGCTAATAAAACACCTGGTTTGTGTTATTCACTCACTCTATACATATACGTTAATTTCACGTAGTTTATACGCGGAAGCTACAACTGATTAACTCACAGATTTCTTATCAGTTTTCCATTGGCCGACACGAGCGCTCCTTAGCTAAATAATGACTTAAATGCTGTTTTTTATTT